ACCCCAAAAAAAAAAAAAAAAAAAAAAAAAAAAAAAAAAAACAGGAAGGATAGAAAGTGCAGTTGTCTTTAAAGAAATCATCCCAACCAATTTCAGACTCTTCACTGTTTGGCATTTTTAGAGGTTCAGTACATGTGTTTAGCCTGTGAAATTCCAATAGCCCTATCTTTATACTCACCATGGGGTCTACTGTATCCTGCTGTCTCCTTTGAAGTTTTAAGTTAGCATCCTTGACACTCCACTTACTGAACTCCTGTGTGCCAAGCACGGGGACTAGAAGTATGAATATCATTTTAAGCCTTCACCTCATCCCTGCAAGCCTTTTCCTTACAGAGAGAAAACTAACACTCAGAGAGCTTCCTCAGCTATTCCTCAGTCATTCAATCATGTGTTGATTCCATGCAGGTCTGGGACTGATTAGGTGTTCCCAGTGCTAAAGATAAAGCCACGTCCTTAGTGTCTAGCAGCCAGACTCAGCCTCACTCTCAAGGAACAGTGTAGAGGAATATACAATAACTAGGCAAAATGTAGATCAGTAGGTAAAAGATATTTTGATGGAGATGGTCAAAAAGCCTCTCTGAGAAGGCGATGCTAAAGTAGGACCAGCCATTTAAAAAAGCTAGGAAAAGTGTTAGAACAGTGACTAGAGAGGGTGTAAGGCAAGATAGATCTTCACGTGTTCCAGAACAGAAAGGCTCACTGTTGGCTGCACACAGGAGTGTGAGAGAGAATATTGGCTCAAGACGAAGTCAATAAACAAATCCATTTGAATAATGGAGAGCTAGCTAGAGGAAAGCCATCAGGAAGTGTCTACTTGGAAATATTTTTTGATAGGCACTAAATATTAAACTGACTTCAAGGAGAATTAGAAAATCTGAATGGTGCTATCTCATTTCGAGAGTGGATCCACAATTAAAAATCTTTCCACAAGAAAGTTTAGACACCTTAGATGGCTGCCTGGTAAGGAGTCTACAAAAAAAAAAAAAATACCACAAAGAATAAGTGAATTTAACAAAGCAGGATATGAGGTCTAGTTACAAAAGTCATTTGTATTTCTACATGCAATTAGAAAGTTAAATGAGATAAAGCTCCACTTATAATAGCATCAAAATGCACAAATTATTTTGTGATAAATTCAACAAAATTTATTTGAATTTATATACTGAAAACTACAAAATGTTGCTAAGAGGACATAAAGTCCTAAATAAACAGAGAGGTACATCATGTCTATGAGTTAGAATACCTAATATGGTTAAAAGATAGAGGCTCCCAAATTTGATTCATAGATTCACTGCAGTCTCAACCAAAATCCCAGCAAGCATTTTGAAGAAATTGATAAATTGACTTAAAGTGTATATAAAATCACAAAGAACTAAAAAATAAACACAACAACCAAAACAGATCAAAGTTAGAGAAACTTATTCCAAGACAATATAAAATTATAATAATCAAAATAGTGGATAATAGGCATAAGGAGGGACATATAGATTAACAGATTAAAAATGAGAGTGTAGAAATAGACCCATCCACATACTGTCATTTCAGAAAAGATACCAAAGAAATCCAAGGGAAAGGAACAGGTTTTACTAAATGGTGCTGTAGCAATGGTACGTCCTTTTGAGAACAAAAATGCACCTTAACCTTTACTTCATGCTGAACCCAAAAATCAACTTGAAATGGACATATACTTAAGTATTAAAACAAAAGCTGTCTTATTAAGAAATGTACAGCAGAATCATCCTTACAACTTTGTGGTAGGAAAGAATCTTAAAGGACACATAAAGAAGGAACCTGAAGAGAAAAATCAGTAAATTTGACTTAATCAAATTTAAAATTTCTGTTCCTCCAAAGATTTTGTTAAGAAAATGGAAATGCAAGCTATAGGCTCAGAAAAAAAAGTTTGCAAATTATATATCTGACAAAAGCCTGATATCCAAAGTATATAATGAATGCTTACAATTTAATAAGAAGCTAAAGAACATAATTGAAAATAGAAAACAGATCTGAAGCAATACTCAGAAAATAAAATAAATGAAAGGTCAATAAGTACATGAAAAATTACTCCATATCTCTGGTCTTCAAATAAATACAAACTATAACTACAATGAAATACAACTATGTACCCACTGTAATGGCCACAATTAAAAAGACTCATAATACCAAGTGTTGGCAAGGATATGGGGCAATCAGCATTCTCATACTTTGCTGGTAAGAATATAAAATGGTATAAACACTTTAGAAAACATTTTAAAATCTTTGATAAAGTTCAACATGCACTCAGAAATCTTGCTTCTAGACATTTACCCAAAATAAATTATGTAATTCCATAAACACCTGTACAAAGGTGTTCATAGCAGCTTTATTCATAGTTGCCTGCAAACCACCCAAACAACTATCAACAGAACAATGAATAAACACATTGTAATATATCTATTTAGTGGGTTATTACTTGACAGTTAAAAGAAATAAATTACTGTTACATGCAACATATTCATGAACACATAAACATGCTTAGTGAATGAAGGCAGACGTGGAGTTTATAATGTCTTCATTCCATTTGATGACATTCTAGAAAATACATGCCAATCTGTAGTGGCAGAAATCTCATCAGCTGTTGCATAATACTGAAGGTTGATAGATAGTGTGAAGGAACTTCCAGTGGTGATAAAAACACTCCATGTCGTGAGGGTGTTGTTTTAAGTATATTGTGCTCAATAAATTTGATTTATTAAAAAGTTTGTTGTAAGATAGAAAATACCTACTCAATCAAAAAATTTGTTGAATGAAAAGAAAATCCTTGTCAAAGCAGAAAAAGAAGAAAGCGACAATTCAATCTCATTTAAAATATAGTCACAAATTGTAAATGAAACAGTAGGAAATTAATTCTAACATTCTATTTAAAGAACATGACTAGGATAAAGTTTATTGCAGGAATAATTCAATAGTAGATAAAGTCTATTAAATAATTTATCATATCAGTATATTAAACCATATGATGCTGAAATCACATTCGATAAAATGTGCCATCTATTCTTGATATTTTAAAAACTCTTAATAACCTAGGAATAATACACGTCTTTATCACAATGGAAAATACCCCCAGCCTGATACACAGTCTCATACTTTCTTCTCACAGCAAGAATAAGACAAAAATGCACACTATTCACCCACATAATTATTTAACATTACTGAAAGTTCTTCAAGTATAGGAAGATATAAAGAGAAATGACTAATATATAAACAGAAGAAACTGTAAAATTCTTTGTTACATGACATAATTTTCTACCTGGAAAAAAAAGACAAAAAAATCAATTTAAAACAATTAGAGCTTTAAAAAACTATAACTAATAGTAAAATACATTTACAAGAAGTTGGCTGGCCTGTATATCAGTTATGACTATTTAGAAAACTGTAACAAAGATATACTAATTTCAATAATGGTAAAATTTAAAGCCCGGGGAGATTTTTAAATATCTATAATTTAGATAAAGTTTTCTGGCAGATATACAAAAAAAGACGTGGCTAAGTAGAGAACTATCTGAAAGGGGGTGCATTATAAATATAACAGTATTGAAAATATAGTAATTCTTCTCTAACATTTTTATTTCTAATCAAAGGGAAAGTGTCATTTAGGGAAGAAATTATCACAATTTATATAATGTCACCTTGAAAGAATAATCAGATGAGAATAGCCGAGATGCAAAGAAGAAAAATGGTGGGACTTACTCTATCAGACAATGAAATATATCATGAAACTGAAATGAAATCATTGAAACATTATGGTCAGGTTGGCGATATAGCTGAGTGGTAGAGAGCTTGCCAACCAGGAGTGAAGCACTGGGTTTCATTGCCCACACAAAAAACAGCAAGCAGAAGAAAGGAATAGAAAGTGGAACAGAATACAAAATGCAGGTACAAAAAATAAGTTGATTTATAATAAAAGGAGCACTCAAAGTAGAGAAGAAAGAAATGATTAATAATCAAGCAAATGGCTCAGAAAACTATTTTAGAAATAAATAAACATTCTCATTTAATACCCTATATCCAAATTAATCACAGATATACACAGTTGATTTGTGATATAAAAGAACTAGAAGTCATACATAAACATCTGATCTTAAAATAGAAACAGCATAAAATCAAAGCTAGGAATAATAAATGTAAGGGCCGGGGATTTAGCTCAGGGGTTGAGTGGCCTGCCTTGCAAGAGCAAGGATCTGAGTTCAATCCCTGGTACCAAAAAAAAAAAAGAAAGAAAGAAAGAAATAATAAATGTATTGATGACTTCACTCTGTAAATATTTTTAAATTCTGTACATCAAAAAAAAACACCATAAACAAAGTTGAAAGCAAGTGACAAACTAGTTAAAAATATTTCCAACTTATAATCCTAGAAAGAACTAGTATTCCTCAGTAGACAATCATCATAACAAAAAGAAGTATCATATTAGGCTTGCTTGTCTTTGCTTTTTCTTGACACAGTATCTAACATAAGTAGATATTTTAAAATGCCTTCTAAATAAATTAATAAATTTCCAGATTATATAAACAGCTCACACAATCCATTTAGAAATATGTAAACACAATGAACAGAGTATATAAACAAATAGTTTCTGGGAAATGAAATAAAATAATCAATTCATATATTTTATACCTCATTAAGAAAGTAGAACACATTAAAATAACAGTGAAGAAGTATTAATTGACCAAATAATAGGGATTTAAAAATAGTTGCATTTAAAATCATGGAAGAGTAATAATGACTTGAAAATTAGAATACATTACATTTTTTAAATCAGTATATAAAATGTGCAGCAAACTAAACTCTTCAGAGCTGCTCTGTGGAATTCTTTCCTTTCTGGACCACTAACCTCAGGAATAGATTATGTTTTCCTTATGCCAGTGAAACTTTGAGTTCCTCATTTGCATGTTAAGGATCCTCTGCATTTGCTGAATGTAATAAAACAACTGATCCATTGTTTACAGTGTTTCATTAGGTTTATATGACGTTTATTTTAGGAATGAACTGGAACTTGCTAGCATTGAAAATACACAGCTGGTGTATTGCCTGTTGAACTCATGGTTATAATTGAAAATCTGAAGTTGTGCTTTCTGAACTAAACTTGCTGAAATCATAGGATAACTAACCATGTTTTAAAAACTAACATTTGATTTGAACTTAAAATTAATAGGTGGGGATACATTATTTCAGTGAGTGTCTTTGTTTTCACTTTCAGAAAACCTAAAAGCATAAAATATCTGTATACTGGAGCCCCTGGCTTTCAGAGATTTGGCAAATACAAAACAAAAATCACTATATAAAGTAGTACATATAGTATTTTCTCAATTTTATAAAGATTACGTGTTTGTATTCATACTCAAACATATGACACTCTAAAATATTCAAATATTACTTTACAAAATAGATAAAGAAATGAACCTAAAGTACAATTTATAGTATCTGGTCTTTAACCTTAGTTAAACAGTTATCACAATGCATCATTGAACACTCTCACTTCACATTTGCAAACCTGGCAAAATTGTCTCCATTGATGTCCACCAGAAGTCTCTGTGTGGCAGAATTAATAAAATGCCCCTTAAAAGAAAAAGAGAGTTAAAACTTCCTGGAAAAGACAGCTGCCTCCCTCCCTCCCTCCCTCTCTCTCTCTCTCTCTCTCTCTCTCTCTCTCTCTCTCTCTCACACACACACACACACACACACACAGTCATTTACATATAACCTCATCAGTTATTATAAGTAATCTGAATCCTGAAAGCAATCAAAATTAGTCTTTATATTCTTTCTTTGATGAAAAAATACTGAAGCCATGAAAAGCTAATGCCCACATGGATGTGAAGGACTTGTAAATCATACATTTTAAAATAAAGATGTGGATGCAAACATGAATTTCCTAGATCTGTCTGTGGAGGGGTCCCTGGAGTATCTCCCGCTGTAACGATAAGCCTGCCTTGCAGTCAGACCTGTGGTTTTGAAAACACCATTCTTCCATAAACAATATCAGTCTCTTTGGGAAGGTACTTGGTTCCAGGACTGTGAGAGAAGAAACACAAGATCACCCTGGATGGGCGCATGTCCAAAAGCTACAGGAATTCCAATAGCCAAAGCCTGAAGGAGTAAGACTAACAAACATTACAGTGATTTAAGCAACAAAACAAAAGTGATACTGTTGGTTTGTTATCCAAAAAAATATAGTAAATGTCCATATGAACAGACTGATATAAACAAACAACTGTATGTATAAATTAATGAGGAAGGAGTTAGCTCTTTCTTGCAGAAGAATTCCAAATAATACATCTAGAAGTAATAAAGAGAATACAAAATCATGATCAGACAAACACCACAGTAATAATTTTTGCAGGTAGGATCCACTTACAGAAACTAAAGCTAGTGGGGAAACTTGACGAATACTACCTTAATCAAGTGATTGAGGTTAACATCACCAGTGATAACACAAGCAACAACCGCATACTTGCCTGATGACACACTAGGGAAAATGTAACATCCCTTCTGTGGAATTCATGCCAGAGAGGCATAACTTTGATCTAATCATAAGAAAACCAGGCACTATCCCAACTGGAGAGACATTTTGTAAAATAACTGGCCAGTAGGCACATCAAGTGTCAAAGTCCTAAGAAGATGAAGAACAGAACTCAGTGCAATGTGGGAAAAAGATGCGGGAGAGGGGGGCTTGCTAATGAAATTTAAGTCTATAGTTTAGTAAAATATTGTAAAAACATTAATTTCCTGCCTTTGATCATTTTTCTCTGTTTTTTTCTGCAAAGTTAATAGTAAGGGAAACAGGCTAAAAGTTGTCCATGAACACTCTATTATTTTTGTAATTTTTCTTTTTTTTCCTTTTTATTGAGTTTATTGGTACAATATAGGTGTACAATACAGTTACATTCATTACTGGGATCCTATACCTTCACATGACAGGTCTTGGTTGTCATTTTTTCCCCTTGTCCCTGACTGCCCTTCACTCCCTCCTCCCCTCCCATTTACAAACACGTTATGTAACTTTTCTTTATGTCTAAAATAATAGATGTTTAAAAACCCTTCAAATGCCCTATGGATAATCCTGGCTGTTGGTTCCTTTTTCTTAATTTAAAATAGCAACAGAATTTATAAAAAGATAAAAAGTTAAATGTGCACAGCATTAGATTCTCTTTAATTTAAAATATTTCATTTTTACCAAACTTGTGAATGTGAAATCCCACATCACCCCTACCTAAGGACAATATCCAAGCAGAGGCAACTTCCCAAGAGCTTCTGAAGGCAGGGAGAATTTCCTACTGTCTCCTCTTTAAGGGAAAGCTGCCAAGTTATAGCTCCTCCAGCTTGCTTTCTAACGCCACTGTCTTCTAAAGAAGGATCTTAATCACTTTTGTTGTCAAGGGCAGAGGAACCCTAAATTCTATCAACTAAAAAGACCTTGACGTCACAGTTCCCACATTGTGTGCTTTCATGTTCCCTCCACAGGAAATGATGGACATTGTCAAAGCTATCTATGACATGATGGGGAAATACACATACCCTGTGCTCAAAGAGGATACTCCAAGGCAGCATGTGGATGTTTTTTTCCAGGTGAGTGCACACACCTGCACCCAAGCTTCATGCCCACCCTAGATGAACCAACCATGACATCTGAGCAAGCAGTTTGTGTCCAACCCTGTTGTAAAGCCTATAGGAAACAGAAAAGAATTACAAGATATGTAGTCCCCAAGGAGTAGATGGCCATGCGAAGCAGATAAGTATACACTACCGCACAAAAGTATATTATTATAAATGACATAAGACAGCTATAAGTTCTATAAAAATTCTTGCGGGATCCAAATAAACTGAGAGGGCTTCATTAATCCCTTTGTGTAAGTGTGGAGTATTTGTGTCTGGGGAGTAAGAGGAAATACAATTGGCAACTAGGGTAAGGGCAGATTGAACAATTTTTAAATGGAAGGGTTTAGGCTTGCTCTGGTAAAGGATAAGTGGCTACTGTGGATCCTTGAGTAGGGAAGTGATGTCATCATAGCAACTTAGATAAGAGTTAAACTAGCAGTCGGATCGAACTACTGTATAACCTTCCTACATTGCAAATGGAAAAACAGAGGTCTCTCTAACCTCCCCAAAGCTCACGCGGTAAGTAACAGAGAGAGAATAAGCTACTCCCTGTCCAGTGTTGTTCCTGCTAGATGAACAGTCTAGTAGAAAGTTTAGGGAAGACCTATGCCATGGTTTAGAAATGGCTTCAGTGCGTCCCCTGAGGGTTCATGTCCTGGTTGTTTGGTGCTCATTGTGGCAGTGTTAAAGGTGGTGGAACCTTTGATGGGTAGGGCCTAGTAGAAGGTAATTGGGTCATTGGGAGCATGGCCTCAGAAGGAATTAATGCTGTAGTCCTCATGAGCATGAGTTATTGTGAAAGAGGAAGACTGGCCCTTCCTGATTCCGTCTTCCATGTAATCTTAACCACAAGCACTCCCACCATTCTGATGCCATCTTCCATGATGTTCTCACCATAAGCAAGCAGAAGCCAGCATCAAGCTCATGAGCCTCTAGAACTGTGAGCTAAATAAACATATTTTCTTTGTGAAGTACACAGCCTCAGGTATTTTGTTATAGCAAAAGAAAACCAACTAATACAACTTGTGTAGCTGTCAATATAATATAGCAATGAGATGTTCTGCAGCCAGCCTTTTGATTTAAGGAAGCTCATCAGGGTCAAAGTGTTATAACCAGGGCCCAACTGTAGTTGTCTGGCCAGTAACAAACCACTAATTTTCAGAGCAAAATTGATTAACAAAAAGTTAGTTTGGGGAAGCAAATTATAAGGTTTTTTTTTTAAGTGCTCTCTCTTGTGTCTTTCAGAAAATGGACAAAAATAAGGATGGCATTGTGACTTTAGATGAATTTCTCGAATCCTGTCAGGAGGTAAGAAAGAGATCTCAGGGCATAGTATCTCTAAATCTGGAAAAGAAAGTCTGGGGCTTGGAAATCTACACATAGCCATGACCTCTCCAATCTGCCAAAAGCAACAACACCAGCAAAAACTCAGAAGTCCAACAGCCTGTGCTCCTCAGCCTGGTCTGTGATACCTGTGGCTCAGAGCAGGACTGAGAAGACAGCCCAAGCACAGGTCTAGGGGGTGTGAAAACCCAGAGGGGTCTCTGTAAGACTAGAGTTCCCAACTGGGCAACCTGGTCCTGGCTTTATGACCCGCTCCCAACCTACCACAGCTGGGGAAAAAAATCAGTAACTGTGATTCTCAAACTGTAATGTACATGAAAATTGCCTGCAAAGATTCTGAAAATGTGTATTTTTTTCTAGGTCTTGATTTCAGAGACTCCAGATCTGGAGTAGGGTCTAGAATTTGTCATTATAATAAAAATGATCTTTTTATTTGATCAATGCACCAAAAACTTTAATATGTAAACCAGACTTCTTGAATATCTTATTAGAGTGCAGATTCTTCCTCCTGGAGCCTGGGATGAGGCCTGAAATGCTAACTCTCTCCCAGGAAAGGCCAGTCCTTCATGATACTTTCATTAAAACTCATGAGTAGATTGATCCCAGAATATCTGCCAGAGACCAAACTAGAAAGAATTCTTTCATCTACTTTGGAGAAATTAATAAGTATACCTCTGACTTATTTCAGAATAGTACATAATTAACTCTGAGCACCACCAAAGAACTGAAATGCAAAGACACAAACAAGTTGTTAACATATATTGAGCACCTACCATGGTTTAGGCACATTACATGAACATCACAACAAGCCAATGAGGTAGATGTCCTTATATGCCATCTGATATTCAAAATATTTAACAACCAGAATAGACAGGACATTGACCACTTTTAACTGTCACAGAGGATCCCTGCTAAGCTTAGTAGTAATGTTTCAGTCAATGAATATCTGGGTGGTCCAGTTTCTTAGAACATTAATTAAGAGAAGAGGCTTAGGTCAGCAGCTGTTCACCAGTAGGGTCAGAAATATCTTATCATTTAATCCTTACAAACTGGAGAACAACATTGATTGCACCCATTTTCAAGGAGAGAAAACTGAAAGACATGGAACTAAGACCATTGTACATGAAAGAGATAGAACTCAAACTCTGTAAATCTAATTTTGAATACCATAAAGTCTACTTCCTTGACTTTGCTTACCAGGTGAGAATAGTTTTTAAATAAGTTTAGTTTCTCACAGTAGCAACTTCTGTAACTATTCACTAGTCAACTCATTTATTTTTTACAACCCAAACTATAGGTAAATATTATATTCAACCGCATTTTACACATGGAAAAACAAAAACTCAAGAGAGGTTAAATAACTTTTCTGAGGTAACACAACTAATAAGTGACAGAGCCAATATTTGAATACAAGTTCCCTGACTCTAGAATCCATATAGCTAAAAGTAACACTACCTCTTTGTTCTAGCAACTTAAAAATTTCAGATCCTAAGAATGGACTGTCTCTATTGATTTTTCTCTGTCACGGGTCTGTTTTCTAGTTCATTAATTTGTTTCCTAAATTACTTTCTTCCTTCTGTTTTCTTATTTTCAAATTCAAGCCTTTTGTTCTTCCCCAGCTTTTAAGATGAAAATTGAATCATTATTTTCAGTCACTCTTTTCTAATATACACATTTATATCGGGAGCAATTTCTCCCTGAGTACTATGTTAGCTGAGTTCTGTTTTTGATCCCACAAATTTTGACATGTCATACTTTGGCTATATCTTAACTCAAAATATGTTCTCTGCTGCATGGGTTTAGAAGTGTGTTGCTTATTATATAAACATTTCAGGGCTTTCTACATTCAAGACTTATACCTTAGGTGATACATGCTAGAAAAGAATATAAAATAATAGACATAAAATAACAAAACCAGTAAAGCCAAGAACTCTCTTTTTGAAGAAAATCAATAAAATGGATTAAAGAGAAAACTCTAATTGAAAAGGATCACCTCATACAGGCTTGACATTAAAAAGGAAACAGCCATTATCTAACAAGTTTGACGTCTTATGTGAAATTATAAATTCCTCACAAGACATAATTTGTCAAAGCTAACACAAGAAGGAAAAGAAAATCTAAATACTGTAGTCTTCTGTGGTTTAAAAATATTAGCTCTATAATTTAAAGCATTCCTCCAGAAAAAATAGCAGGTTCAGATAGCTTCACTGGCACATTCTTCCCAACATTCAAGGAACAAATGATATTAATTTTAAGCAAACTCGGGGAACAGGGAAAAAGGAGAAACTTCCCACCTTGATTTATGAAGTTCTTGCAATCTTAATATGGAAACTTGCAGGATTAGTTTAACAATCGTGAATTAGTCAATGTAATTAATCACATTAATATAATAAAAAATAAATATGATCATCTCTGTAGACGTAGAAAAAAAAATCACTTGACACAACACGATCGCACAGATCTTTCATAAAAATCCCAGCTCACTGTTGTACTGGATAGTTTGTTCTTCTGAGTCCCTCTTTAAAGCTAGAAAACTATTTTTGCATTGAGATGATCATTTTCTAGGTTCCCCACCCCTTACTCCTTGTTTCGACCACCTTCATAGACTTTTTTCCGCCTAGGAAACCATGCTTGAGATTTACCACACCAGAGTTACCAAACTTCTCAGGCTGCTGCTGCTGCAAAGATTTCTAACCCTCCTCTCTTTCCTTCCTCCCTTCCCAGGATGACAACATCATGAGGTCTCTCCAGCTGTTCCAAAATGTCATGTAACTGGGGACCCTCAGCCCCCCAGCTCTCAGAGACATTGTACCTTAATACCTTGATCTGCCCCTGTTCTGATTTTACACACCAACTCTTGGGACAGAAACACCTTTTACACTTTGGAAGAAATCCCTGCTGAAGACTTTCTATGAAACCCAGAATCCCATGACTCAATCTCTGATTGCCAACTCTTCCTTCTCCCTCCTCCTGAGAGAGACAAAATTTGAGTTTGTTTTGGAAGCATGCCCATCTCTTCACACTGCTGCTCTGTGGAAGGTCCCTCTGCTTGAGTTTAAACAATAGTACACAGTTTTCTGCTTATGTGCCCCCAGCCCACTGCCTCCAAATGGAGCAGACTTTGATGAATTTGGAAGCCAGAGGACTTGAGCCAAATGCACACCATCCTCTGATGGCCTCCCAAACCAATGTGCCTGTTTCTCTTCCTTTGTGGGAAGAAAGAGTGTTACACAGAACAATTAAAATCTACTGTGACTAGACTGGGGGAGGTAGCACCTAAACATGTAGAATAGGACTGAATTGCTAAGTATGGCATTGTCTGATGACCTAAACTGCCCACGTCATTCATTTCCAGAGGCAAAGTCTAATAATTCTCCCACACTAGCATCTGTGCTAGTAACACAAGTCTCTTAACATGCCCAGGAAGAGAGCCATTGCCTAGTGGCCAACAACTCCTCTCCATCCCCTGCTCAAGCCCATCACTGCATGCTCCTCCCACAAAGTCCAGAATGCCTGCAAATTGCTGTAATTTTTTACCATGTTCTAATCAATAAACAGAATTATTTCTTACACTGTCAATCATTTCTTCCATGACTCCATTGGGCAAGAGAGGTAAGCAGTAATCATTACCTCTTACCTTAAGGAGGTTAGTCCACGCATTTGGCATCCAGTTACTAGGGCTTCCTTTGTGCTAGGCACTGTGCCAAGCAGTGACACCTCCCCCCAGCCCTCAAAGCATCCTAAGCAACGCCCAGTTCAAATGCAAATATGACCATAAGCAAATGCAAGGTCAAGACAAGACCTGTCACAGCATCTCCCTTCTGGCAAGATTGCCACTCCCAGGCTCTTGTAAGGCAGAAAGCCTGGCTCCCACATTGTGGCAGGGGATACAGAAATGGAAAGGTGGACAGGTTCTCCTGCTGAGGGACTTGGAACGCAGGCTTTGATTAAGTGGCTTCATCCTGTAACCAGCAAATGATTACTTAAGCTGAACACCAAGCATTTTGGTTTCCCTGTTTTAGATCACATTACAGAGGTTAAGCGCTAACAGTAACATTCTCGGAAGGAAAGCAATTTGCTGAACTCCCATTATGTACCAGGTGCTTCCCTGAGGGCCTTGTATATGCTGCCTTCATGCTCATGGTAGAGCATTCCCAAAGGTAAAGTCCCGGTTTAGTTGATGAGGATACTGAAGTTCAGAGAGGTAAGGGGACATGTTGCCAGTCCCCAACTGAGGATCCACCTAGACCCAAGCGGGGGCTCTATACGTGTGCCCCTTGCTATGTGTGGTCTGAACCTGCAGCTAAAGGCCGAAGCCAGTGGTTCTCTGCCCTGGCTGCACATCGGAGTCACTAAGGAGTGAGGGTGCCAGTACTTGTGCCCCACCCTAGATTAGTCAAAATCAAATCTGCAGTGAGGCCGGGGCATTGGAATTCTTCAGAAGCCGTCCCCGGGGGTGCAATGTGCATACAAAGCGGAGACAGGGAACCGACCACATATGGCACTGGAAATGAAGTACATGATGGCCACACTGATTCAGAAATTGGCCCGAGTCCTGACCCAGTTCAAATAGAAGGGATCTCAAAACTCGTGCCACGAATGATGGAACAGAGATGTCCATGCTACTGAACACGAATGAGAAAATACATCACCTTAAGAATTGCTGGTAGATATTTTGGAATAACGGGAGTTTATAGATTTCCAAAAGGGCTAATAAATCAAAACATAAGACAGACAGAGTTCAAAAAACAGAAATCAAGTCCTTGGTGATAAGTAACATTGAGCTGCTGCATCAAACTCACTGACTCCATTGCTCGTGTTTCTGGTTTATCTCCTGCTCTCTTGAACCATCCCACCAATGGTCAGGATCAGCCAGTCATCACACCTGTGAATGGGGCTCAGCCACACGGCACATGCTGTGGCTGTCTTGCCCACATCTCCGTGGCATTTACCATCACCATGCAGGTGGACTCAACTTCTGCCAAGTGTAAATGACAGATACGGTATCTGGGACTGGCTCACAGCAAGAGCCTGGCTGTGAGGACCCGCTCGGCCTGTGACAGGGCAGGTGGGGAGAGTTGGGTCATCAACATCAGCAAGAAGCAGCCCCTAAGCCATGACTAAGAGAGCTAGCAGGTCCCTCTCCTCCTAGTAGGAAGCACTCTGAGGTCTCTTCTAGACTGTCCTTGCCCTCTGCAGTGGGATTGAACCCCAACCACCCATAGCAGTAACCTCTGATGAATAAGACAGAATAAATGTGTGGCATGCAGGGGAGGGACCAGGCTGGCAACTTTAGACAGGGTGGTAAGGCTTCTTCTCTTATTTGAGTCTTGTTATGGTTTGGCTATGGCTTAAACGTGTGCCCCAAACATTTATGTGCTAGAAATTTAGTTCTAGTGTGGTGATGCTGGGAGATGGCCAGAACTTTAGGAGTTGAGGCTTGGTGCTAGGTAATGAGATCACTAAGGATACCACTTGCAGGAGAAATCAATGAGTTCAGTTAGTACTCAACACCAAGTTGTTATTAAAGAGCAGAATGGCCCCTCCCCACTCTCTCATTTTCTGCCTCACTGTGTACTCTCCCCCTCTCACACATGTCCCCATATGTCACACCCTGGGGATTCCTGCCATAGTGTTGGAATGTTTGGCCCACAGTGCCATCTGCCCGTGGACCTCCCCTGAAACTGAACCAGTGGGGTCACCCAATCTTGGACTTTCAGCCTCCAAACCTGTGGGCCAAATAAATTGCTTTTCATTAAAAAATATCTAGCCTCTGGTATTTTGTAACAGCAATAGAAAAGTGACTAGTACAAATCTCAGAAAAATTGTGAGATGGGTATCCGAGGCACCTGTTTTTCAGATGAAAAAAAAAAAAAGTAATGCCCAAAGATATGGAGGGACTTGTTAACACAGCTGGAAAGAGCTTTAAAAATCTGCCAAACTCCATGCCGAGCTTTCTTTCTTTGAGATGATAAAGACCATTCTATTCCTAAAACTAACTCTAATTATATACAAACACCAGAAGGTATTGGAAAGCAGCTGCTGTAAAAGCTACTAGAGAAAAGCAATGAAAGCAACTCATGAATCCAAGCCCAATTACTCTTCCTGCAAGAGGAATGATGCCAAGGACATGTGCAAAAATGGCCATATGGGTGGGTTTCTCTTAAAGAAGCTAAGATAAATGTACCACATCAGAAGAAGGCCCCCTTGAACTTTCAGACTTCAGCTCTGCACTCCCGGCAAGCACTTCACTGGGAACCAGTAAATCTTAGAACTCAGAGAGTTGGGGGGAAACCCTGGAGTCCGCCTACTCCACTGAGATGATTTTGAAGACTCGTGGTGTTCTGGGGGAGTTGACTGTACTCCCAGTTCAAGGACCAATGCACATAGCACTAGGCCAAGCCAGTGTTACCTCCTGTGTCCCTAGCCGCAGCAATGGACTCAAGAGTAGGCTGGACACCTAAACTAATCCAAACAGCGGGAATGTTCTGCTTTCACAGAGAATAATGCAACGAAGTTCCTTGTTTTCTAGGGGTTGTGGATGGGAAAGCACGGGCCGACGGCTACAGATAAGCACTTTGTAACCTAAAGGAACGCCAGCCTACAGCTGAGCGTAATATACCACAGCAGTCCAGGCGGAGAGATGAAAACAAAGGAACTTGTCGTTGTCATTGAACTGCTGGATCCAACTTCATGTGAAGCTACTTTGTGTCCACTCTTTTTGCTTCCATGCACCAACAGATATCAATAAATTCATTTTCCATTATTTAAAGCAGTTTTGAGTTGCACTTTCTGTAACTTCAACTTGGACATCTTACCCCATGCCTTCATACAGCAGAGAAGGCAACAAACACCCACAGTTACACAGCTGTGCAATAGCACAGCTTGGGAAAGCGACCCGGTGTAGTACCATATCCACCACACTACTCTGTGGCCTACTTTGAAGAAGCCATAATATAATGGCACATATTATGTATTCATCACTTGCTGCATGCTAAATAATTCACATATATTTACTTACCTCATTCAATCCTCATTACTTTGGGCTTGGTTCTGTTATGATTCCCACATACTAATGAGAAATTAGAGCTCAAAAAGATTACATAATGTAGTTGTGATTAGTTATGGAGTAAAAGGCAGAACAACAGTTTGAATCCAGGGCTTCCCTACTTCTTCCCTTAATTGGTGACTCAGGAGATACCAAGTTTAATGTGTGTCCAGACCCACGCAGGCTAAACTAATGTGTTTCAAGCCACAACAGGCATGCTCAGTCTAAAGAAGGCAACCACGTCACAACGCTGGGAATTACTGTAATAGTGTTGGACACGGGTCCATTGTAATCAGATCTACTCTGAAGAAAAATTGAAAATCTGGGCTCATATGTGAAGTCTCCCAATTTCATATTCTAGCAACTATTCAATATTCAAAACAGACCAAGCCAAACAAGCGTAAGACGTGGATATGTCCCAGGGGCCACCAACACACAAGCACTCTAAATTCTCTAAATTTATGATTTTTCCCCCACTACCGAAAGATTGTCATGTTGTAAGCTTACACCTAGTATGTCATGCTGCATCATGAGTATCAGCAGCCGAGAAACAGTAACCCATGCTAGTATTAGATAATATATTAAGAGCTGCTAGGGCTGGGGACTTAGCTCAGTGGTTCTGCCTCCTGCCTCATAAGTGCAAGGTCCTGAGTTCGATCCCTGGTACCAAAAAAAAAAAACCCAAAAAACTTGAAGAGCTGCTAGCATTCCTGGACAGTTGGCTAGGGACAAATAAACTGTAGCGTGACATTAAGATGAGAGCTTTCAAAGTACAACTCAAATGGGTCATCCCTACAGATCCTATGGATATTTAAAGGTATCTGATGAGCTTCAATTCAACATCTTACATGAAATAGAAAAATACGTGGAAAAACCGCAGCTCATCAAGATGGACAGTATAACCATGAGTACATGATGAAATCAGCCAACTAGGGTACCGAGAGTCATTAAATTCACAGGCGGAGAGTAGAAGGGTAGTTCTCATGAGCTGGGGAAAGGAAAAAAACAGGAGTGATGAGGCTAGTTGGCTTCTCTTTGCCTTTTTTATTTTTAGTTTATTTTTATCATTTTATTTTTCTAAGCTGTACTGAGGTGAAATTGACAAAAATTGTAAACGTTTAAGGTGTACAATGTGATGTGGGCATATATATATATTATATATACTATGTATGTATGGTTACCACAGTCAAGCTAATGAACACACCTATTTCCTCAAATGGTTCCTGTGTATGCGACATTTAAAATTTATGCTCACCAAGTTTAAAGAATGCAATAGTATTGTTAACTATAGTTGCTACACTGTACGTTAGATCTCCTAAACTTGTTTTTGCATAACTGAACCACTTGACCAATGTCTCCTCATTCACTCCACTCTCCAGACTCTGGCAACCACTATTCTATTTTCTGTCCCTATGAGTTTGACACTTTTATGCCAGATTTTTTTTTGGGGGGGTGGTACTGGGGATTGAACTTGGGACCTTGTACTTGTGAGGCAGGTGGCAGAACCACTGAGCTAGCTCCCCAGTGACACTTTTAGATTCCATATATAAGTGGCTTTCACCTGTGTTGTCACATAGGACAAGATTTCCTCCTTTTTAACACTGAATAACACTACTGCAAGTGTCTTTATCCATTCGTCCACTGATGGACACATAGTTCCATCCATATCTCAGTTACTACGTATATTTGTTGCAATGAGTATAGTAATACAGATGTCTCTCCAACATATTGATTTCATTTTCTTTCAGTTCTACCCAGAAGTAAAATTGCTAGATAATATGGTAGTTCTATTTTTAATTTTTGAGGACCCTTTATACTGTTTTCCATGATTGTGTTAACTTAAATTCCCACTGATGGTGTGCAAAAATTCCCTTTTTCTCAGGCCTGGGGATTTAGCTCAGTGGTTCCACTGCCTGCACCACAAGTGCAAGGACCCGAGTTCGAACCCTGGTGCAGAAACAAAAAGAATTCCCTTTTCTCCACATCTTGTCAACACTGGCTATTTTCTGTCTTTTCTATGATATCCAAGCTAATAAGTTTAATGTGATATTATATTGTGGCTTAGATTTGCATTTCCCCATGATTAATGATACTACTGTTTTATATTCGTATTGCTCATTTATGTATCTTTTTTGTGAAAATGTGTATTCAGGTTCTTTTTATAATTGGGTTGTTTGTTTTCTTGCTACTGGGTTGTTAAGTTCTTAATATATTTTGTATATTTACCCATTACCAGGTTTATGGTTTGAAAATCTTTTCTCCAATTCTGTAGGTTGTCTCTTTGCTCTGTTGATCATTTTGTTTGTTTGCAGAAGCTTGTCGGTTTGGCACAAATCCTACTCATCTATTTTTTCTTTTGCTAGTTGTGCTTCTGGGTTAGATCCAAAAATAAAGCTGCCCAGATCAGTGTCAAGAAGTTTTCCTCTGTTTTCATCTCCTGATTGTACAGGTTTAGGTTTTATATTTAAGTCTTTAATGCATTATGAATTGATTTTTATATGCTGTGAAATACGTGTTCAATTTCATTATTCTACCTGTGGTAATACAGTTTTCCCAGCACCATTTGCTAAAGAGGCGAGAAACCATTGTGTTCTTGGCACGTTTGTTGAAGATCAATTGACCATAATTGCAGTTCGTAAATGCAGACAGAACAAGCCATTGTTTTATAATGGGTGTAGACTTTCAATTTTTCAACATGAAAAGAGTTCTGGAAACTGGTTGTATAACACATAACAATGCGAACGTTCTTAGCACTACTTAACAGCACCCTTAAAATGGTTAAGAAAATAGAGCCAGGCAGTATAGTGCCTGCCTGTAGTCTCAGGAGGCTGAGTCAAAAGTCTTGTTGAGCCCAGGTTTGGAGGCCAGCTGGGCAACATAGCAAGGCCTTGTCTCAAAAAAAAGTTAATTAATAAATGTTGTATGTATTTCATCACCACTAAGAATTTAAATGATCAAAAGAGTTAACATAAGAAATAAAAAGCAAATTCCAAGTTCAGATGATTTCATTGATGAATTCCAGCCAGTATATAAAGCAAAATAAAACCAATCCTCCATAAACTCTTCATGAACTAGAAGAGAATAAATACTCTCCACATCCTTTTTAGAAGGCCGGCATTCTCTGGATACTAAAATCAGGATATTAAGAAAAAATAAACTTGAAGACCAATATACCTTATGAACATAGATGCAAAAATATTTGTAAATAAAATATAACGATATTAAAAATAGATGCTCTACCATGACTAAGTGGGTTTTACCCTACGGACGCAAAGTTAGTTTAACACTACAAAAAAAAAAAAACCCTATTTATTTCAGTACATTAGCAGAATAAAGGAAAAAAAAATATAATCAACTCAGTAGATGCCAAAAGTACAGTTGGAAAATCCAAAATTCTTTAATGACAAGTACTATCTACAAATTAGGAAGGCAAGAGAAGTCCCATGATCTGATAATGGTCATCAATCAAAAAACCTAAAGTTAATATTGTCTTTAGTGATGAAAGACTGAATGTTTCCCACTTACCTCCTTCGATAAGGAATTACATAAAGAGTCCTTTTTGTGTGTGGTACTGGGGATTGAACTCAAGACCTTCACACTGAGCTACACCCCAGTTGTTTTTTGTTTGTTTGCTTGTTTGTACCATGGATCAAACTCGGGACCTTGCACTTGCGAGCCAGGCAGGGGAACCACTGAGCTAAATCCCCGGCCCAGCCCTTTTTTTATTTATATTTTTATTTGTATTTTTGACACCGGTCTCACTAAGTCACTAACTTGCGCAGGCTGAGCTTGAACTTGGGAAACTCCTGCTTCAGACTCCTGATTGCTAGGATGACAGCCACGCATGGCACACCAGGCTGGAAGTCCACTCTAGAATAATTGTATTCACCAGGGTACTGGAGATTCTGGCAAGTACACTCAGGCAAGGAAAACGAAATGAAAGACGTTCTGATTAGGAAGAATGGAGTTAAACTATCTTTATTCTCATGTAGCACGATCATCTGTGTAGAAAGTCCAGTAGAGTCTACCTTGATACTCATTTATACGTATCGGTCACAGTGTGATGTTGTAACATTTGTATTCACTGTGCACTGATCAAGTCAGAGTAATTAATGTTTCTATCTTCTCAACATTTATGTTAAGGGCTTTCGAGCTTCTCAGAACAGCTGCTGTTTGAAAGACATTAAAAGAACGAAAAGACAAGCTAAATAATGAGGGGGAAACTGCAGACCATACATTTGATATAGAACTTGTATCCAGATTACACGAAGAATTCCCGGGGGGGGATCTTAATTTTAAAATCAGCAAAAAATATGTGAATAACGCTTCATCAGCTTGAGGAAGCTGTGATAAACAGCGGAGCTGCAGCCCCGGAAGGCAGCTGCAGGGAGAGAGGGAGCCCGCAGGGCCCTTGATAGGGAACAGCTGGCGAGGGACGGCGCGTAAACCCTCAACCAACCCAGAGCAGCGGCGGCCCGAGGAGGGCCTCGCCAAAAGCAGGAGGCGTGCATGCACCAAGGAGGACATGACCGGGAGGACACCCGTGAGAGAGCCTCCACGGCCCACAGAGGATGTGGCGACTGACGCGGGGTGTGAAGGTAGGAAACCCGGGCGACAGATTTGACTGCGAGGCGCCCCGGCGTCCACAAGCTTGAGGGCGGCGAGTGCTGTTTGCACTTCGACCGCTAGATGGAGCGCGCGCCCCGCTGAAAACTCGGGATAGCGCGCTGGTGTCTGCCTGGCCGGGATCCAGCGTCCCAAGCACCCCACCGCAGCGCCGGCGCTTGCTTCGGGCAGTGCGACCCGGGACCACACAAGCCCCGCCCTGCCAAGGGCCCGGGGCTTAGTTTCCGCTCTATTATCACCCATCTTTTCGTTGTTGCGCTGCGCCTGATTATGGAGCAGGTCCCTCCCCTGCCTCCTCTGTCCCGCTCTCGCTTTGTGAAGTGAGGATGTGATCTCACTTTCAGACCCAGAAGCTGTCAGGGATCAGGCCCTGGTCGCCGGTGGAAGTGACCCCGTAGCAGCACGTGTGACCCAAGCGCCAAGCTCTTCCTGCCCACGGAAGAGGTGGCCTGGGCAGACCTAGGCCTGGGGCCAGGCCCGGCGGGAGCCCCCTGCAGGCCCGCCGTCAGTAGGTAGAGCTGGGGTCAGCCAGCGGCCAAGGGTGTACAACAGGAGGACTTGGGCATGCGGCCCTTGTCGCTGAGGGGACGGGCTGGGGCCGGGGCCAGGGGCAGAGCTGTTCTCAGAGTCTCCATTTCAACTCATGATAGAAAAATTCTCCCAGCTTTCCCAGCGGCACGCCCCGGGGCGGTCGGCCTCCCTGAGCCTTGCTTTCATCATAAGTAAATAAAAGGATAATCTTCAAAGGGTAGCTCAAGGAGGATTGAATATCTCAAGGGCCTGGCAAGTTCCAGGTACTCAGTAAATACCCATTTACTCGCTTCTGGATTTTGTCACCCAGGCGGCAGGGTGGCGCTGCTGTCTGTTCTGGAATCTCCCCTCAGGGTAGGAGGCAGAGGTCCCCAGCAAGGGGGGCAGGTGTTACAGAGCTGGGAAGGGAGGAGAAATGTGGCCCAACGGGCCAGACCAGCCACCTCCAGAGCTGACTGGGGCTGGAGGGGCGCTGGTGGGGCTGTGGGGACCCGAAGCTGACAGGCCTGGGGGAAGAGAACAGAAGCAACACTGCCACCCTGTGCGTGCGGTTGGAGGACCCTGGCTGGTTTCAGAGCCCCCTCTTGCACCCCGGAGAAGCCACGGGGGCTTGGCGCCCACCTTGCACATACAGGGTTTACCCAGTGTCAAGAGGGTCACACAGGAACTGACCCAGCCTCCTGTGTGTGCCTTGGTGTTGACCCTGGTGTTGCAGAGGGCGATTTCTTGCCCCACAGCATGAAACAAAGGATCTGGAAAAGAAAAACATCGGTCCTTGTTCCTCCATCTGCCAGACCCACGAAGCTCCAAGTGGTTCCCTGATCACAGACCCCCTGCTTTGTTCTCCTCAGTGTGGTCACTGTGGTGCATCAGGATGAAAAGTGTCTTAGAGCCTTTAGAATCAGAGGCCTGGACTCCAGTCCCGCTGTTGCCATGTGTTTGCTGTGTGTCCTCAGGGAAATGACTCTGCTTCGCCGAGTCTCTAGTCTATAACAGAAATGAAATATAATACTTAGCTCACAGGACTAGAATGGTGTGGGAGATGGTTTTACAGTCAGTGCAGCTGGGATAAGATTCCATCTCTGTCCATTAGCTGTATGATCTTGAACAAGTCTTCGCCTCTCTAAGCCTCGATTTCCTTATCTTAAAAATGGGGATGTGAAGACCAAGGTTGTCCATAGACTTAACAGTGTTCACCTTCCCAGGAGAGAAGGAGGCTGGCTGGGGCTGCTTTCTTACCCCCTCCCCAGGCCACCCTGGGACCCGTGCTTGTGCCTGCTCAGCCTCCCTGCGCCCAAGCCCCAGGCAGATCTGGCACCCAGGGAGCCCTGGTGCTGAGTCATTTCTGCCTTGGGGAATGAGAGCCAGAGCTGAACAGGCTCAGCATGAGCAGTGTGTGGGTGGGAGGGTGTAGGGAGACTCAGCTCCTCGAAGCTTGATCTGAAAGAGGGCCCAGCTCCCTCCTAAGATCTCACCTGCCCCCTGCCCTGCCCAAGGGCCTGACAGCAAAACACCTAGAACCCCCCCAAATCAGCGTTGAGGCCAGCTGCGGCGGGGGCGTGGAGAACGGACCTGTCCCATCACTGAGCTTCCTGAGACGGCAGCTCCTTGGTGAGGGAGAAGGAGTCAGACCTGTCTTCCTCTGCCCCTGGGTCCTCACCTGGCACTGAGGTGCGTTAAGGATGATAACTGCTTCAGCTAAGCCCTTTGGAAGTCCCTAGCACTGGATTATTAAAAAAACAAAATAATGGTTATAATAATATAGGTGCACCCTGCTTAACAATGAGGACGCACTCAGCATGGGGACACACGGGGATTTGGGCTGTGTGAGCTTTGTAGGTGGCATTCACTCAGACCTAAAGGGTCTAGGTTGATCTCTCCGTGGGACTTCTTAGTAGAGTGATACTGTTTTGCAGCCCACTGATTTTTTTTAATTCATTAAGCTTATTGGTAACATTTTAGGTATACAATATGATCGCATTCATCATTGAGAATTTGTACCTGGACATGATATATTCTGTTTCTTGTTTTTTTCTCACTCCCCTTCCCTCCCTTCTACTCTCCCACCCCTCCTTAATTACAAAAACTTTGTTTCCATTTTTTCCTTCTTTTCCCATATTTTTTTCTTTCCCTTTTTTTCTTTTCCTTACCCCCCCCCACACTTTCCCTTTCCCTTTGGGCCTTTTCTATTTTACATTATCTAATATACATGTTAGTCCTCATTTACACTTTCAGTTTCTCACACCAGAGAAAAATTATTCAGTATTTACATGTATGTGTCCTATTTAAGAGTATGACCTCAATGTGCATCCATGTAGCTATAAATGTCTCTAGTTTATCATTCTTTATGGCTGAGTAGTTCTCCATTTTAAAAACCCACATCCTCTTTAACCAGTCACCACCAATTGATCTTTTTTTTTTTTTTTTTTTTTTTTTT